ATTAATATAATAAATATAGAGCTATTATTATACGTCGGCGAATTTATAAATTAAGGCGGCCTTTATCTATTTATTATAATTAATAATAATAATATTTAATAAGCGAATCGAATATTTATTAATTAATTAATAGATACTTTTTATAAAGAACCGGAACCTTTTTAATTTCTTATTATCGACGAGGCCGAATATTATATTAAAAATAGATTTATTATATATCTAATTAATAGCTTAAAATAATAAAAGTTTAAAACGATTTGTATTATATATATTATTAAAACTAATTACCTCTATAAACGCCTTTATATTAAAAAATAAAATAGAAATGTTTATATTAAGTGAATAAGCTAGTTAAGTTTATTATTAATTTATTTTATAATATAAAATACTTCTCGCTTATTAAAAAGCTTTATTAAAACGGCTATTAGTAAATAGTTATTTAATTTCTTTTTATTTATAAAAGCTTTAATATTATAAATATTTTATGAAATAAATATAAAATCTAAAAGTTATTTTTAAACAATAATATAAATATCGCGAGCTTTAATATTAACCCGGCGGTTAATAGCTTTAATAACGCTTTTAATTAATAATATAAACCTTTAATATAAAAAATATATTAAAAAATTAAAACTTAGCTTATAATTATATTAAATACACTTAGTTTTAATATACCGTTATAAAAACTAAACGCTTTCTTTTTTTATCTTAATAATAATTATTTCATTATAAATAAATAATTATTATTAATATAACCCCGTAGTTTTAATAAGCCGCGGTTTATAAAAACCATCGTATTAAAATATATATCTTATTTTTTTATTTTTATATATATATTTATATCAACAAATAATACTAAACTCGTTTTTTCTAATAAATATATTAACTTAGTCGAATAGGGCGTTAATTATAAATTTTAAATTACCGGGAATTTATAAATTTCAGATTAAGTTAAATAAAAAAGAAAACGAACGTTAACTTAAGGAATAAAAACCCGGTAATAATAAAGCTATTAAGTTTATTTAAAAATCGGTAAAAAGATACTTTAAATAGCGAAAAAAGGAATATAAAAGTAAAAATAATAAAATAAACGTATTAAATAAGTATAATAAATAACCTTATTTCCATCGTTATCGTTAAATTTATTTAAAAGAATTAAAAGTTTTTCAAATAACTATTATTTTTCTTTTATTATTTCCTTAATTAAATATAATATAAATTTAAACTTTTTTTATAAAGGTAGTTTATATAAGTCGATACTTTTTATTTTATAAAATAGTTTAAAAATAAAATATAATAAGAGTAGACCGTATTCTAGGCTAAATATTAATATTATTAATAACTCGATAGGTTTAAATAGTTATTATTAGAAATATTTTATAAAAAAGATTTTATAATTATTTTATATTTTAATAAATACCGTATTATTTTTATATAAACCGTAAAATTAAATAACTTGATAAAACCGGTTTAGATAAAAAATAAAAAATATTTTTAAATGTATTATCGTTACTAAGGCTATAATAATTACTAATATTTATATCTAAATTATTAATAATAAAAAGTCGCGAGGTAAAAAAATACTTATTATATCGCCGTTTTAAATTAAATTTATTACTTAAATTTAAGCTTTTAATTTAATAAAATAAGTTATGTTTTAATAGCAAAGGGGCGGATTTAAATATAAAGAATTTAATATATATAATATAATAATAAAGGCTCGATTAGTTAATATAAACGATACGTCGTAATTATATACTAAAGAAATTCTTAAATATTTTAAATAAGACCGGTAAAGTTAAGATAAAGTAATAGCTTTTTTAAACTAATAATAGTGTGTAGCTGTTATGCCCGTGTAAGAGTTATACCTATATATTAATTGTTTATGCCCGTATATTAATTCCTTTTAATAAATACGTTTTAAAAACGATATTAATATAAAAGCTTTTTATAATAATAACGTTTTTTAAAATAAGGTCTTTAATATTAAAGCCTTTTTTATTATAAAAAGCTTTTTTAAAGATTTTAATCCTAATTTTTATAATATAAATATAAATAAAACCTATTTCTACAAACTCGCTTTTTAAATAAAGTTTATAAAAACCTTTTTTTAATAAGGCCTTATCGTTAATTAAATAATATTTTCTATAACCATTATAAACCGTATTATTTAATAAAGCGTAATATTCTTTAAAGAATATTCAAAATATTAAAAAGCTTATAAAACCGCCTTTTTATAATTCTTTATTATTATTAAAAATAATAACCCTTACGACGCTTTTAAAATAGTTTTTTAAACGAGTTTTACTATCCCTTTGGTTCTTATAATATATACTCTTAGCGTTATTAATTAATTACTCCTTTTCTTAATATTTAATTTAAATATAATTAAAAGCTAATAATATAACTTAATTTTTTATTTTAATCGCTTCTTTATTTATAAACTTTTTTATATATTTAAACGTTTTTATAAAAACTTTCTAAACCTTTTTATAGTTTCATAAAAACTAATAATAATTTTTTTTATATAAATAAGCCTTAAACGTCGTTTTTTAATTATTAAACGTATTTAAACGTCTTTTAAAAATAATAAAAAGGTCAAGGCCTTTATTATTATTTTTTAAAAACTAATCTTTTTAATAAAAATTCCGAAAATCCGTTCGTATTTTTCTAAAATTAAAATAAAATACTTAAGATTTTCGTTCGTAATAAAATTATTATATATTTAAATTACTTAAATTAATATAAAACGAGTTTCAATAGTTTTAAAAAAGCTTTTTATTATTAAAACTTTTTAAACCTTAAATATATTATAAGCCTAAGATCGCCCGTATATTTTATACTAATTAAAATATTAAATAATTAAAAAGACGTTATTTTAAAAAGCTTTAAAAAATATATTATTATACTTTTTATAAATTATTAAAAAAGTTATAAACTTAATAAGTACTAAATTATACCTTAATATATATATAAACTCTTGAAAATTAATTTTATTTTTATATAAAAATTCTATTTAAATATTCGTAAGTTTTTATAAATTAATTATTTAAAAAATAAAAAATTCGATCGTTTAATAACTCGTTATAATTATTATTTGTATTTAATTTCGATTAATATAATCTTTAATAAATCGTTTATACTCATTTTTAATATTATTAAACTTAATAAGACGTAGTTTCGTAAGCTTATTAATTAAAAAATTTTAAATTTAATCGATTTCGTCGTCGTTAAATATTTAAATTTTATTTTTAATATTACCGTTCTTTTAAGCGGTTAATTATTTATAATAATTATTTTCTAATTTAATAATATATTTAGTAATTAGTTTAGTATAATCTTATTTTTTTTAATAATCGTATATTATTATTACTAACGTTTTTTATATTTAAATTAATAAAATCTTAAACGAACGCGTTTTTTATATATATTTAAAAGTTAATATATTAAGTTAATTAATCCACTTTAGTATTAAAACGTTAACTATTATTAAATATAAAAAGTTAAATAGTTATTAATATCGTTAATAAATATTTTATGCTTTTATAAATTTTAAAATAATAAAAAATACTCGTCTATTTTTATATTTTAAAATAAAAGTTTATAAAAATTAAGTTTATAATTATAATAGGCTAAGAGTATAGAAACGTAGTTTTTATAATTTAAAATACTTATTTTTTTAAAAAAATATTTTATAAATTGATTAAGTAAATATACTATTTAAAAGCGCTTAGGAAGTAAGTTAATAAGTATATTTAAGTGGGTACTACCTTAGCTATATATGGCTATACGCTAGACCTCTTGCGATATATAAATTATAAAAACTTAGCGAATTATATAATAAATAAGAATCTAAATAAATAATAAATTAAATAAAGCGAATTTTTATTTAAGTTTAATTTCTAAATTATTTATTAAAAAGGTTTAGAAAATAGTAAAGTAGACGTTTTTAATAAATAATTTAATTACGAAGTTATAGTCCTTAAAGAAATATAAATAATCCTTAAATACAATAATAACGATAATTTTATATTTATTATAAAACTTTTTATAATAACTAAAAGAGTTAATATTAGCCCGTTTAGAAAAATGACTTTTAAATTTATTATAAAAGTTTATAATATTTAAGTATATAGTTATTAAGGTATTATAAAGATATAAAAACGGATTTAATAATATTATAATAAATCCGTTATAAAAGTAAAGGTCGCTAAAGTTATTAAAAACTATAATATTTATAAAAAAAATAGCTTTTATAAACTTTATAAAGAGTTATAATTATTATCAGTGCTGCTAAAGGTATAGTACTCGATTTTTTAAGACTTTATTATTAAATTATTAAAGTTTAAAAAACTATTTATAAATATTTAAATAGTATTTTAATTATTATCGACCGATTTATTAAATTTATTTATTTTATATTATGTAAAAAAGCGAGTAATATTAAAGAATTAATATATAACTTTTTTAAAATAATTATTATTAACTATAGTTTATTTAAAAAAATGGTTTTTAATAGAGATAAGTTATTTATTATTAAGTTTTAAAGAATTTTGATTTCGTAACTCGGTATAAATTATAAATTATCGATTTTTTTTTACTTATAAACTAATAGATAAACGGAAAGAATTAACTAAATTCTCGAGATATACTTTTATTATTATATAAATTACGATTAAGATAATTAAATATTATTATTATTAATAGTTTAGTTTATATATAATAACGTAGTTAGCGAAAATATAAAAAAATCCTTTTTTTATTTTAATTACGGATTTTAATTAATTATATATAGAGAAATATATAAAAAATTATTGGCTATGAAAGCCGTAATAAACGTAAATAAATTTAAGAAAATCTAAAAGGAAGCCTTTTTAAAATTTAAATTTATATAGTAATACATAAAAAAATACGCCGATAGATTAAGGATTAATAAATTAATTTTAAAAAAAGGAAATAACGTATATTCTTTTTATTATAATATTTAAACGAAGCGATTAAGCGATAAGTTTAATTATAAAAAACTTAAACTTTTCGAAATTATTAAAAAAGTTTTATTAGTTAATTTTAAATTAAAACTTTTCAATACGATACGATACTATTTATTTTTTTATATTTTATTTTTTAAGCCGGTATTTAAGAGCTTATATATAAAAGACTATATTATCGTTAAATTTAACGAATGAAAATACGAGGTTAAACAATTTATTAATTATTAAATTAAAAAAGGATAAGAAGAGTATTTTATTAAATAGAAAGACTATAAATACGAGGATAATATATAAGAACCCGTTACGAACTTTTAAAATTTTTAATAGCTTTTTAAAAAGTATCGAAATTAAATTTAAACTTAGTATTTTTAATTATTACGGCGTTTAAGTTAATAATATTAAAAGTATTATTAGTTTACGCCTCCTAAGTTATTAAAAAAATGCTCTTAGTATTTTTAGGAAATTCTTTTAATATAATATAACTTTTTTTAAATACTATTTGTTTTTAAGAATAAAGACGTTTTAATTTAAATAATAACTTATTTAATTTAACCTAAGCCTTTTAATAAGCTTTAATTTTTTTAAAAACTACAACTTTTCTGTTTATTTTTTATAATTAAAGCGATTAGATTTTATTACTAAATAATTTATTATATTTATTAGTCAGGACCCGTAGGAAATAGTTTTTAAAATTTATAAATATAAATAGCGTTAATAAAAGTATTATACGAAATATTTAAACGATAATATATTCTATAGACGTAGGAATTAAAAAGAATTAAATAATAAATATTTTTAAAACGATAATTTAAATACGATATTATTTTTATATTTTTATTAGAAAAATAAATAATGCGTAATAAACAACAACGAGACGTAGCTATTTATAATTTTAATTTTTTAATTTATTTTAATATAGCGTTAATATATTTTAATAAAACTATTTAATAATTTTTTAACTTAGGAATTAATAACTTATTTATAAGCCTAAGGATTAGACTTTTAAAAAGAAGAGCTAATATTACGATTTAATACGTATTATTAAATTAAGGCCTTGTTTTATAAGACCTATAGCGGCTATTATATTATATATATAATAATAAAAATTTAGATAGCTCCCCTTAAGATAGAAGAATTATAAATAAATTATATAATTATAATCGTATAATAAAATAAAAAATAAACCCTTATAAATAAATAAGATAGATAATTATAAAAATATAAAATAAACGACCGTTTAATAAACGGTTAAATAATAGTAAATAGGATATTATAAAAGATATATTTATAATTAAAATTTATATATAAGATAGCTTAAGCTAAGCTCGAAGATAGATTTTTATAGCTTTTTTAATAATTAACTTTATATTAAATCTTACGATTACTTTTAATTATTTTTATTAAGAATTTATTTAATAAGACTATAGTTAATTACTAAAGCCTTTTTACTTTACGATTTATAAATAATAGTTTCTTTAAAGCTATTTTAACGACGATTATTATTTATAAGTATCGTAGCCCCGATTGTTGTTAATATAAACCTTATTACGACTAGCTGGCCGTAATAAAAAAGTAATTATAATTAAAAAGTTTTTTATGTTTTTTATATTTATCCCTTTTATTAAACTAAATAACTTTAATTTTAATAATTAATCTATAAAAATCCTTACGTTTTTCTTTTAATATCGTTATAAAATATAAAATAACGATATTTGAATTTATTATTTAAGTTTTTAATATAATATCGTTTTTTATATTACTTTATTAAAGCGATAATAAGGCGCCTTATAAGGCGTATTTATTATTAAAGCTTTTAATATTATATTAATATTAAATAATAAGGTTATTCATTAGATTTTTATTAACTTTTAATATTTTTCTTTTCATTAAATAAACCGGTTTTTTAATTATTCTTTTTTTAATAATATATCGGCCTCGGCCTATTATAATAAATAATTTTTATAATTTATTAACATTTATATTCATTTAATTAAAATATTTAAATATATTTTCGCCGCTTTATTAATTATTATAATCATTGTTTTTAAATTATATTAATATTTTTTACTTTACGTTAATTATATTAATTTATAAAAACTTAAAAATTATAATAATATAACTAAATATTTAAATTAAAAAAATATAAAAATCAATATATTACAATTTTAAAATTTAAATTTAAAAATTTATAAAATTATCGTCGGTTTTTTAAATTTTAATTTAATTTAATAAAGTTTAAAATTTGTTAAGCCGTCGCTATTTAAACGTAGAGTAGTTAAGTTAATATAGCGTATAGTAGCGGCATTTTTATTTTATTTATATTTTTCAAAAATTAAAATAAAATATTTAAACTCTTATTCGTAATAAACTTATTAAATATTTATATTATTTAAATCGGTATAAAATAAGTTTTAACAATTTTAAAAAAGTTTTTTATTATTAAAACTTTTTAGATTTTAAGTATATTATAAGCCCGAGATTGCTTATATATTTTATATTAATTGAGATAACTAGTTTATTTTTATATTAAAACTTTAATTATTATTAAATATAAAAAGTTAAATAATTATTAATATTATTAATAAACGCTTCGTATTTTTATAAATTTTAAAATAATAAAAATACTCATCTACTTTTATATTTTAAAAAAAAGATTTATAAAAACTAAATTTATAATTATAATTAATAAAGAATATAAAAACGTAGTTTTTATAATTTAAAATACTTATCTTTTTAAAAAATAATTTTATAAATTAATTAAATAAATTTATTTATTAAAAGCGCTTAGGAAATAGGTTAGTAAGCATACCTAAGCGGGTATTATTTTAGCTATACGTAGTTATATATTATAGCTAGCTAGTCGTAATAAGGGTTTATATTAATAAAAGTCGGGGCTACGATAACTCATAAATAATAATCGTCATTAAAATAACTTCAAAAAAAACTATTATTTATAAATAATAAAATAAGTAAAGCTTTAATAATTAATTATAATTTTATTAAATAAGTTTTTAATAAAAATAATTAAAAGCGATCGTAAGATTTAACATAGCTATATAGCGAGCGGGCCATTATAACGAGCGGGCCACTTCTAAATACTTTCCTATTATTTATATAAGTTAATTAAGTTATATCGTACAAAATCAATTAAAATTTCTTATTAACTTCTTTTTTAAAAGTCTCTTAAATTATTTAATATATTTATATATTATATTTAATCTTTTCGTAATTATTATATTATTATTTACGCGATTTAACCCTTTTTATATAAATATTTTTTTAATATATATTTTCGTTTTTAATATTAATAAATCTTTTTTTTATTCGGATTACTTTAGTTTTAAAAATATTAAATAAGTTTTCAAAACGTAATTACATTTTTTTAACTTTTTAATGCTTATTTAATATCTTATTTATTATATAAAGCCCGCGGTATTTAATTTTAATAAAAGCTTATTTATATATTAATTTACTAGTATTTTTAATTTATAAATTAATAATTTTATATAAATATATTAATAAACTATATTAATAATTATAAATACGTTTTTTAAATAAAATAGAGTTTTATATAATATTATATATTATAATTAATATTTTTAAATCTTAAAAACCTTAGTTATTTAAATATAAATTAAATAATATTAACGTTTTTAATTTAAAATCTAAACGGGAAATAACTATTTTTAAATTAAAAAATAAAATTTTAACTTATTTAAAACTAATTTATATATTTTTTTTATTTATTAAAATAAAAAAAACTAATTTAAAAAAAATTCCCTTTTTAATAATATATATAATTTATATTCGTATTATTTTTTTAATTTTTTTATTATATAAAACTTTTAATAAATTAAAATAATTAATATTAAAAAGCTAAAGCTCGTATAATAAATAAAAAACTATATAAAAAATGATAATATTACGCTTTTTATAATAATTATTAAATTTAATTAATTTATAATTATTATAATTATTAAAAATTAAAAGCCGTTTAATATTTTTTATATAAAATTTTATATATTTTTTAAATTATTTTAATTAATCTAAACCGATCTTATTTATAATTTATATATTTTTATTAAAATAAATATATTATTTAGAAGAAAATTAGTTATTAATATATTATAAAAAAAAGTAATATTTATTTTTTATAATAATATATAAAAATAACACTTAGCTATTTATATATATATTTTAAATAATAAAAACTTATTTTTAATTATTAAATTATTTTATATAAAACTTTTTATAACGATTAAAAGTTATAATAATTTTTATATATAAAATTATTCTTATTAAAAAGCCCGTTTTATTAAAATTATAAATATTATAATTATATATTTTATATTTTAAAATCGTATTTCGTATAAAAATAAATTAAATTTAAATAATTATAAAATCTTTAATTAATACTTTTTAATAATTAATTTTATATTAAAAACGCGTTTTTAATTATAATTAATGTTATATAAAGTTTTTTATTTATTATAATTTAATATACGTTACGTTACGTTTATTAAAAAAATAATTAATTATATTTTATATATTATTAAATCATAATAAAAATCTTTAATTAATTAAATTAAAAATTTGTTTAAAAATTACGGTTTTTCTTTAAAAAAATTATTTTTATTAAATTTATATACGTTTTTTATTATAATAATCGGCCGACGTATCGATATTAAAATATTTTATTTAAAATATTATAAATAATAATAGTTTTTTATATAAATAGTTTTAAGTTTTTTTTAATAATTTAAAATATAAAAATAATACGGTTTTTTTTAAAAAAAAAAATTATTATTATATATAAAAGAAAGTTATTATAAAGGGAAAAGGTATAGATAATAATAAAAATAGCCCGCTCGTTATATAAGGATATTATATATATTATTAATAATTTTTTTATTAAAGTCTTTAATTTATATAATTTCTTTAAATATTTTATAATTTATTATTTTAAAAATATTAATATATTAATAATATTTTTATTAATTATATTATTTAAATTTAATATAAATTTAAAAAAAAGCTTATATAAATTTTCTTTATTAAATATAAAAATACTTAATTTTAAATAAAATATATTTTTTTTATTATTATTATAAATTACGTTTTTATTTATTATTATATAATAATAAAAACTATTTTTATAATTAAATAATTGTAAATATAAATATTTATTATATAATAAGCTTTATTTAATTATTTACTATATTAATAATTACGCTCTTTTAATATTTAAAATTTATAAATTAAATTTATCGGTTTTATTTTTTTATTAATTTCGTTTTTTAATTAAAAAAAGCTTTTTTATTTTAATTTTATTATTTTTAAAAATTATTTTAAAATAAAACGAGTTTTATTTTCGTAAATAATTTTTTATTTTTTTATAATTAACCGGTTTTATAATAACTAATTAAAATATAAATATAATTTTTATTAAAATATTTTCTTATTTAAAAATATTATTTATTATATAATTTTTTTTTATAATTTACTTTAAAAATATTAATTTAAAAACTTTTAAAAAAAGCTTTTATTATAATAAAAATTTTAAATTTTTTAAAATATTAATTTTTTTTTTTTTTAATAAGGTAAGTATTATTAAATTAATCGGTTTATAAAAATAAAATATAAACTATTTTCTTAATTAAAATATTAATTTATTATAATTTTAATTTAAATATTAAATGTTTTAAATATTTATAATTTTATATTATATATTTTATTTTATTATAATTATAATATTTAAATCTTTTTTAAAAAATATTTTTATTTATAATATTAAAATTTATTAATTAATTATATTATATTTATAAAAAATAATATATTAAAAATTATTATTAATATTTATATTTTAAATTAAATTTTTATTATTAATTACTTTTTTATTTATAAATATAATTATTAAATTTAATTATAAATCTAATATATTAAAAAAATTATTTAATTAACTAAGTTTAATAAATTCGTTTTTAATTTTAATTTTTAATTTTTAATAAAATATAAAAACTTTAATATTATTAATAAAATTAAATTAAATATTAAAATGTTTAAATTTAATTATATAGTTTTTTATTAATTTAATTTATAAAATTTATAATATATTATATTTAATATATTATTTTTTATTTAAAATTTAAAAAAAAATTTAAAACTATTTTTAAATTTTTTAAAATTAAAAAAAAAATTATATTTAAATAAAATATTTATTAAAAACTTTTCTTTTAAAATATTCTTTTTAAAAAAGTTTAAATTATTTAAAAAAAAATTTTCAAAAAAGATTTAATAATATATATAATATTTTTTAATTTTATTATTAAAAATTTTATAATAAAAATTTAAAAATTTTTAATTTAAATTAAAACTTTTTTTAAAAATTTTAAAAATATTTTTAAAAATAATAAATATATCAAATTTAAATTTTTATTTTTTTTAAAAAAAATAATAATAATATTAATAACGTTTTAAAATATTATTTTTTTATTTAATTAAATATTTAATTTTTTAATATTTAATTTTAAATTTTATAAAACTTTTAATAAATATTTTTTATATTTTAATAATATCGTTACCGTTTTTAATTTAAATAATTATTAATTAAATAATAATAATATTAAAAAAGTTTATTAATTTTGAATTATATTAAATATTTAATTTAATAATATAATTTATTTAAAAATATAAATTTTTATTAAAAAGCGCGTTTTTATTAAAATTATATTTAATATTAAATAGATTTAAATTCTTTTTAATTTAAATAAACTTAATATTTAAAATTTAAAACTTTTTACTTTTATATAAAAATTAAATTAATATTACTTATATTATTTAATAAGTTTTTATAAAATTAACTTATTAAATAAAAATAATTAAAATATTAAAACTAATTAATTATAATAAAAATTAATATTAATAAAAATTAAAATTATAATATTTATAAATAATAATAATTATTAAAATAGTTTTTTAAAATTTCTTTTTTAAAAATTTTAAAATAAAATCTTTTTAAATAATTTATTATAGTTTTATTAAATAAGTTTTTAATAAAAATAATTAAAAATAATTATAAGATTTAATATAAATATAAAATTAATTATTAAAAAAGTTATAAAAATTTAAATTTAAATTTAATTTAAATTTATATTATATATAAATTTAAAATATTATTAAATTAATTTTTATAATTAAAATCGATATTATAAAATCGGGTTTTAAAAAATAAACCGACTTTTATTTTATTAATTTATATTTTAAAATCGTTTATTATTTATTAATCTTTTTTATTATTATATAATCTTTTTATAATTCTTTTAGTTTATTAAAATAATATATATATTTTTATTAATTAATTATATATATAGCGAAATAATTATTATAAAATAAAGAGGTAAGTTTTTAATTTATTATATATATTAAATCGTAATATTAATTATAATAAATAATAATATTTTTATAAATTATTATATTATAATTAAAATAAAACGTTTTTAAATATAAAAATTAAAAATAATTTATATTTTAATAATATAAAATTTAAAATTATTAATTAAAAATTAAAATAAAGTTTTAATAATAAAATATATATTAAATCTTTATTATAATATATAAAATTATAAATTTTAAAATAAACTTTTAAAAAAATAATTTTAAATAATTTAAAAATTTATAAATTAAATATTATATTTTTTTTATAAATATTTTATAATTTTTGTTAGTTAATTTGTTTAATTATTAAATAAATTAATTTACTTATTAATTATATTAATTATTTTATTACGTTAAATATAAAAAAATAAAACTTTTAATTAATAATATAGCTTTTAATAATTAATACATAAATTAAAACTTTAAATAAATAAATATATTTATATTATCTATTATCTATTATAATATTTTTCTTATTTATATATTATTTTCTTTTAAGAAAATTTTTAATTAGCGCGTTTTAATCCGAGACTTTCGATTAGCTTTTTATAAATAAATCTAAGTGGGCCTGATTCGCTAATTGTAGTATGACGATATTGCCTATCTTCTTTTTAATAAATCTAATTATCTATTAGGGATGATCTGTCGTAGGGGTAATGGCTTGAAATGCAAAGCCAGAATTATCCTCATCCCCATCCTCATCTCCTTACCCCTACCTACTTCCATCCCACCACACTGTGTTCTGCCTGTGGTCGTCACAAACCAATGAGAGCAAACGTCCCGTGCGCCCAGCCAAGCCAGATAAGGCCTAGCATCAGAAAGTGTGACTCACACTCACCTTCCGCGCAGGGGTTACGCCTTTTCTGCTTATGGTCGCAGCCGGATGCCATAGAGTACATCTTGCTGCGGTACTCACACTGCACTTTGCGCACCGATACAGCCACTTGCAATGGAACAAGGAACATAGCCCCGCCGTATCTCTCCGACTGCAGGGCTTCGCCGACCGCGCCCTTCGCCTTGTTTGCGTTTCCGGAAGTGCCGTCCCACAACCCCCCCATTTCATTTTTTTGGCCTATTGCTGCCTTTCAGGCTACAAAAAGTCGCTAGTCCCTCCCCTCTCTTGCAAATTGTCACACTCCCTTTCTTTCCTCACCACCATCGAACACCCCAAACTACAACCGAGAAACACACTGCCATAGAGGCCCGCCAAAATGCGTTAAATCATCGTTTTCAGTCTGCTCCCGCTTCAAAGCTTAACAATATTCGGTCCACACCAACAATTCACGACCTTTCCTCATTTCACTCTTCAGCTCAGCCTTTCCAGGTCGATCTGAATTTCACTACGGCTCCCAGCTCTAGGTCAAGTTCCGCCTCCGCAACCATTCCACCCCAAGACTTTTCAGTCTTCATCACGGATTCCCAATCAATATGGCTTCCCTCCAGTTCACCCAGCCTGCCGGCACCCTCCGCGCATCAGCATCAGTTCAGCCCACCCGAACCGTCTCCTCAGCAGGACTTCGTCTTGTTCGATCAACCTCGAACCAGTCAACCTAGACACTTGGTTGCTCACACTGCCCTCGGGCTGAACCAACGCCGTCACTCGTCACATCAACTTAGACAGAACCACCAAGGTCGTGTCCACTTGCAACAGAAGCATCGACTCGCCCAAGTTCAAGCTTCAGGTCCTTTATCACGGTCATCTTCGGTATATTTCCCCGCTCAGCCAGCTCAACCTTACGCCTCGTCCGCCCCGTCGTCTTCAGCGACTCTGAATCGTCGCCAGCGCCCTCCTGTACCTCTATTCACCCAGAGTATGCAGGGTGCAACCAATCAGATGGATCTTCAAGGTACGAATCCTCCTGTCAGTGTCATACCCTGGAACTATACTCATACTCCTCAGCAGATCTCGATCTAGACGACTTCACTGGTTTTGAAGGTGGTGCTTCAACCACCTATTCGTCACCCGCCATGCCTTCCGTATTTGACGTTGGCCCAAATACCCTGGGCACCGTGTCTCCACAGGACCTCCTCATCCAGGAGCCTTTCATGTCTGCGCCGAACTCCACGGCTTTGACTGCACTGACCTCGCCGTCTATCTACAATGAGTCGCCGGATTTCAACGATGGCTACGATGTCTCCCCCAGCTTTGATTCTGGCGACTTTGGCGCCGCAGATTTTGACACCGGCAGGGGTGAATCTTGGTTTCCCTTATTTCCCCAAGATTCTACAGGCGTTGCGAAAGAGAGCGTTGGAGTAAAGGACGCTCAGAAGACGCAAACTGATCAATCTCCTGCTCTGAACGGTGACGACCTTGAGGTGGTGGAGTTCAGTTCTTCATCAGGTCGCCGGAAGTCCGTAAATTCTTCCCCAACCAGCTCTATTCGTCATTCTTCGGTATCCGGTGTGAATTCCCGCCGACGCGACAAGCCGCTGCCTCCTATCATTGTCGAGGATCCCAGCGACACAACCGCGATGAAACGCGCACGGAACACCTTGGCTGCGCGCAAGTCTCGTGAGCGCAAGGCGCAGCGATTTGAAGATCTTGAGGAGAAGATTCGCAAACTGGAAGAAGAGCGGGACCACTGGAAGAGTATTGCTTTGGGTCAATCTTGACTTAATTTCTAAAATTGTCGTGGCAAATACGAATGAACTGGGGGGATCAACATCACGTGTCTTTTCTTTCGTTTCCACTCTTGTCCTATTGCTGACTGTCTTTTGACAGTTTCGTTCCTTACGAGTGTAGTTGAACCAATATTTTTCACGTATTTCTAATGCATGTGAAATCGTTTCTGACGAATGTTCCGTACAGTTCCAATATTTGCTGGTACATGATTCCCAAAGTGACTCAAAGTTGTACTCTATGTGATACATGGAACATTTGATCCTAATGTATGGTACGAAAATTCTCATGCGATCGTGCCAGCCTATGGTGAAGGCTGGAGGCAGCAAGGCAGCCGACTATCCGCGGACCGAAGATAGGGCGGTGCACGAGTTCAGCCAACAGCCACGACCTCCAGGTCCTGGCTTGTAAGCCGACTTTCATAGATGTCTAGCCTGTCTAGCAAGCCCAACGATGGTGTTTGATCGTTGACATTTGGAGGTAATGGTCAAAATCCCACAAAGTCCGTCGTGGCGTCAAAAATGTCTGTTAAAGCGTACGAGCCTCTGGACACCACCTAGTGGCTCTTATTGGGGTCCAACTCAGCTCGGCAAGTGAGTCCAGCGGTGCCGAAAGTCGTCTTCTACGGAAACATTCAAATAGACATCGGATCGAAGCTTTGCCAAAGCGATAATTGCTCATCTGGATGAGATGGTTGAGTGATGCCCAGCATCACCCGTGCCCACAAATCAATTTTCTACTATCTGCTCGTCGTTCACGCTGGTTTCGAGGATCTCATTGTTGATGATGTCCTTATTCCCATCTCGAAAGTCCTTCATGAGAGACAAAAACCTGGAATTTTTCCATTTGTCTCCTTGTTCATGTTGAACTGACTCGAGGATCTGTCTTGCCGCCTCCGAAATATCCGAAAAGGATTGGCCTTGTTCTGCAGGTTCGGGTGTGCCCTCATTCGCTTCGTCGAGGCGTAGGCGTTCCAAGTCCAACACGTGGTCCGAAAGGCTGGCTCTTGTCGCTACACTGATGGCATCAATTTCATGTCCCGAGAGGCTACCAGATACCTGTTGGGTTATAGCAGCTGTGGCAGCGACTCCTTCGGTTCGTTGTGCCCCGTCCTGGACGGAAATGTGTGAAGCAGAGGTTGTAGCAGTATCTGCACAACCGTCGAGGGCATCTGTGGGTGATTGCGTTGCGGCTCTCGTTTGTTGCTCTTGTTCCAGTTCCATCGCAAGCTGTTCCATGATGGCGTCCAGGTCCTCCATCCGCCCGTCTCCGTGGGCCGCCATCCACCGATTCATTTCGAGATCAAAATCAGCCTCGTTGCTTTTCAGCCCGTGGTTTCTGACGGGAGAAGAACTGCCCTGAGGTCCGAACAACCATGGTCTCGATTGCGATCCCATTATGTCGTGCGTAAACCCTGCTGCAGGTGCTGGGTATTGTGAAGAAGAATATCCTGGTGCGTAAATACCAGCACCTGGCGATGCCTTAGAAATTGCTGCAAAATCTTGCGCCCAACTTGACGCCCGCGGTGGCGACGTGATAGACCCTTTTGGCTGAGAGGTTGCACGTGCGGCTGTGCTCGGGATCTGAGACGCAGACTGGTAGGGGTTGGGAGGGAGTAGTCGGCTATCAAGAGCCGCTGGCGCGTGTGACATTTGCAGGCCTAGAGAGAAGTTTGATGTCGACAAATCATAAGTTTGGGGTATGTTTGGAACTATTTGTGCGTTTACGATGGAGTCACGGAATTCCCCAAAGCCTGCTTGAGCCGGCGCCAAATAGGGTTGATTTGTAGACCGAAAGCCCTACGATATTGTTAGAGAACTACGTGTCCCAGAGCACAAGGACAAGAGGGGATGCCTTACTTGCTGCAAACTAGGTGCACTGGAAAACCGATCTCGGTGCAGGCTTCGATCTTGGACGCCGTGGTCAACGAGGCTCTTAAACGGCGCGGAGCCGCTGCAAGAACTGTCGGCCATGATGGGGAGGCGGTAAATGTTCTTGCGGATCACGCCGTAATGAAGTGACTGGCCGAATCGTATGAGATTAGGTGTGCTAAATCAACAAGACGTATTATAAATATTACGAGGAACGTCGAATTAATTGTAGTCGCCCCAAGGCGATGAGCGGCAGTGATTGGGAATGATTAAACAAGCATAGGCCAAACCGATTACCTCGGCATCGGCTTATACGTGCCTCTGCGTCAGCACAGCACCGCTCTCCCGGCGCGGGGTGGATGGGCACGGCGGGTCTCACGTGTCAGATTATAAACGATAACCCCAGGCGTCGATTTGCTTGGAGACAAATGTCACGAGGCTTGGGTCACGGGATTCTTCAGCCACCGCCTACTTAACGTGGAAACACATATCCCTGTCCTGCAATACGGCAACGCATCGTAAGCCGGATTGGATCTCTAACCTGGGCGAACTAAGACCAGCTGGGAGCTCCCGAATACCTTAGGTGGCACTTAAAGTAGCACATGCCGTTCGCCAAACAACATATACCTAGCTCTTGATTCCCTTCGTATCAAACCATATCTGATGCTTTGATTGAGCGCAGACCTCGAGTAAACAGATCAGCTATTTCTCTTCACAATGGTATGACCTTCCCTGATACACTTCATATTTCGCCTCGCTTACTTGGCCTTTTGACGCAGGCGTCTGCCCAGGTCATATCGAATTCTGGTCACGATGACATGATTGTAAGTGTCTCCTGAGTCTTGCTCTGCATACGCCATTGCTCGGTCTTTATCCGAATGCGATAAGATAATTGTATCATCGACCACTGCACCATTAATACGATGCTCCTTTCGACTGGCAAGCCCATACTTATCCATCACGTTCGGTCAGGCTAATATTTCTCCACTTCCCATCGCAGCACGATGCCGTTCTCGATTACTACGGACGCCGCCTCGCGACATGCTCAAGCGACCGAACCATCAAGATATTCGAAATCGACGGGGACTCTCAGCGGCTTGTTGAGACTCTGAAAGGGTATGGATTGCACGCTGGAGACATTCAATAACGTGGGTCTGCTCCTCCTGCTGACTCTGTTGCAGACATGATGGCGCAGTTTGGTGCGTTTCATGGGCGCACCCCAAGTATGGAAACATCCTGGCCTCGGCAGGCTACGACGGCAAGGTCTTCATCTGGAGGGAACAAAACAACCAGTGGCAGAAGATTTTTGATTTCGCCCTGCACAAGGCCTCCGTCAACATTGTCTCGTGGTCTCCGCACGAGTCTGGCTGCCTCCTGGCCTGTGCCTCCTCGGATGGCAACATCAGCATTCTCGAGTTCCGCGACAACAGCTTCGACCACATTACCTTCCCTGCCCACGGACTAGGCGTTAACTCTGTCTCCTGGGCCCCAGCTACAGCACCTGGAAGCATCGTCAGCAATTCTCCCGGTCCTGGTTCGGCTGGTGTGAGGCGATTTGTCACCGGCGGCTGTGATAATTTGCTCAAAGTATGGGGTTTTGACTCGGCGTCGCAGTCTTACAAGCTGGAGCAGGAGCCTCTTGCCGGCCACACAGACTGGGTTCGTGATGTCGCGTGGTCACCGACGGTCCTGCAGAAGTCCTACATTGCTTCAGCCTCTCAAGACAAGACGGTTCGCATTTGGACATCAGATTCGTCGAGCGCGGGACAATGGAACTGCAAGGTTCTTAACTTTGACGCCGCTGTGTGGAGAGTCAGCTGGTCTCTGAGCGGCAATGTACTCGCGGTCAGCGGAGGCGACAACAAGGTTTCGTTGTGGAAAGAGAACCTCAGAGGCGAATGGGAGTGCGTCAAGAGTATCGAGGAGTGATGCAGACGTCCATGTGGCGTCATGGGCAAGGCGTTCGCGGCAAAATAGGGCATAGATGGACCATGAAGCGATTGACCTCGTGTATTTGATGTCGTTTTGGAGCTAATATGTCCTCTTTCCACTTTCACAATTCCCCGTTCCGGATGGTATGAACTTGTCCACCACGCCAATATCACTAATGCACCACAGATACCTACTATGAATACGAAGTAGTGTGCTTCTGAATTGATATAGTTGTTCCTCTGCTCTTTGGACCCAGTTCTTTCTACCTTTACAGTAGCTCGAACTGGTCCTAAGCCTATGATAAGGTCAAATACACCTGCACCTCCCAGACGAGCATCGCTACCGTGGGGCTGCAAAGAAGGGTGGGTCGGGAAAGGATCAAACCGCTGCAGCATCTGGCGATGACGTTAGAGTAGGGGCGGCTGGATAACTCGTTGAGGTTGACACATTGGTCGTCTGAAGGGCATATATCTCCCTGTTGAATCCGATGTCATGAGAAGGCTGTCCTGGTTATCCCAGCCAAGTCCCGCCGGGCAGAAGTAGTTGTGTGGGCAGCTGCCAGTGCATGCGTTGCTTGAAACATCAGTGATTGCTGTCAGCTGGCTCTGTAGGCTCCCCAATCGAGAAACCCGTGTTGCATAGCTTGTAGCTGACAGGCTGGTCTCGATGGCCTGGGGCATGGCAGTCATGGGACAAACTGTGGACAACAGAGCTCTGGTGCTACTCACAGCTGCCACAGAACCTGACAAGGGGACAAGGGCTTTTGAGCCATCAGGTGTAAACTTGATATCCGATGGAGCAGTGTGCGCCTGGAAAGATAGTATCGAGGCCACGTGAATGGAACTGCATGCTGTATCGTTTAGGGTACTGATGAGGTGAGGGTGAACTGGTCTCCTATTGTCATGTCTTCCCGAACCCTCGGTTGACCAGATAGCAAAGCAGTTTGATATCCGTGATTACCGTCTTAATCCTTGATATAACCACTGAGATTTGAATTCCTTGGCAGTATTGTCAGTGTGGATATCAATGTCGTTCCGCTCTAACTGGTCCGCCGAGTTCTCAACAGTCCATATGCCGCTAACGACGGGCTCTTCCGCCACGCCGAAAGAGTTCCGGAGCCCCCACTCTGGAAGGATTCCCTGGGTTGCGAGGTTGACGGGCGTTGGATCCTTGTTGAGACTCTCAACGTCAAAAGCGCGAAGCTGGGAATGCTCAGTAGGCTATCTGTTCGCAGCCTCGTCAATGTTGGACGCGCTGCCTCTCGACACCAGGAGTGTGTCAGGGTTCTTATTGGATAGAAGTAGTGACCGGGTGGTAAGCTCCGTATTGCTCATATTCGCTATAAGGGTCTGACTCCTGTCGCCGACAGTAGCGGCATAACCTTCATAGGGCCAGGAATGTACCTTGTCGGCAGTCGAGGCGTACAGACTCTTGCCATCGGGTGAGAGAGCTGTTCCGTGGTTGACCTTTCAGCGGCCGGAACCATCGCAACAAGTAAGCTCGCTACGAGAATTCGATTTCCAGAGAGTCATACGTTACCTCTGGAGAATCAATAAGTGCCCGGTCCTTGGACACGGACGAGCAAGTGCCGCCATCATCAGTCAGCTTCAGATATTTAATCCTAGACGTAGTATCAACAACCAGAAGACCCCCCTGGTGGTCGAAAAGAAAACTTTCATGACGAGTGAATCCATTCGCAACTCGATGGAATGTCCAGCCGCTGGCAACAATCGGCGGGGTTGAAGTCACCTTCAAAGTATTTCGGCACTCCTGGGCCAAGACTGCGAAGCTTTGGGTAGCAGCAAGGATACGCACAAAAAGTAACAAAGTCATGTTGGAGAAAGTTGGCAGGGAAATGCGGAGATAGAAGAGCCTGGTTTAGAGATAAGGCCGGATCTGAGGCGGTTCTCGAATGGTATATAATACAGCAAGAAGAGGCTGGCGTCACCTGTTCCTGACGGAAGATCACCTCGTTCTGTAGCGGGGTTCTGCAGCGAAATTTAGCTTGGACCGACGGTTCAGCCAAGGAAGGATGCTAGATACTTTGCTGTGGGCGAGCTTGGCTAGGATTTGGAGCTACCTAACGTAGTGTGCGGGACGACTTCAATGATGATGAACATGGAAGGGATACTATGTGTCATAAAACGCGGGAGACTCTGTCTCTGTACAACGCATTTTAAGGTGTTCGAGGCGTAAGGCACTCTGCATCTACTTTACTACTAATATTCGGCGACCCGCGGCTTTGGGATTCGGGAAACGAAGCCAACATGTAGCCTAAGGACGCGATGATAGGCGAGGACAAGTTGGATGACGAGGACCTAGCTGGTTGACCGGTCGATCACATGGCTGACAGTGCGCGAAGTAGCCGACACAGATAGCCCAACTTCAAACTTGGCCAACCAACGTGCCAACTTATTAACAAAGGCGTGGCAACATTATATGCGCTCCGCTGACCCCTCGGTCGTGTCGTTGTTCCCGAATACCTTGGGCATTTCTTGCTACCCTGTGGCATCATAGCATGTCTATGGACTCGGTACTTCGATCATGAAGGCACATCGCCTGATCAATAATCTGCCAATATTCCCTTGACAAAAGGGCGAGGTCACAGCGAGGCCATCATCTAGTGGACTCTCGTAGACGTCAACGGTTTTTCTTAGAATTAAGCCCAGATGTGTCTATACAAGAGGGAAGGCATTATATTGATTATAAGAGAAATGTCCCACTGGCCGGCCCTCACCTTGGCCAAACGCACCTATGAACACGCTGAATACTAGCATTGATTAATATCGCCGTTGATAATGAATGTCACCCTACGCATGACCGGCAAAGCCTAATAAGTGTATCGCGTATGTGCTTGAAGAAGTAGACGCAAGGAAACCAAGGTTTTACCCACGAAGCCAGGCTGCGCTCGCCGCCACACCCGGTCCCGACTTCTCGTCACTCAAATAGTGAAACCAAGCCTATCGGCCTCATCGAAGGCCGATGACACTCATTTCCAGGGTCCAAACGCGCCTGATCCAGACCTTTAGCTTCCCCTCGACGCCCTCAACATTGTCAAGCTCCACACCTTCCCACCAGCAGCGCCTCGCAGGCTTCCTCCAGAAGAGAAGCAGCTTTTGCGCCATGCCAACAGCATTACTGCCCATATCGTTGCCCCTAATGTCGCTTCGTAGGCGTGCCAAAGCTAGACTGCAGACAACCGCCTTATTCGGTTCTCCTGCTCTGTGACCCCAGTTGTCGTTATGGTTGAATCCTCTAATGAACAATTAGCTCCAAGCCCGGGTCCGGCCAATGCAACGCCGGGAAACTTACCCCGCTGTCAACATTTCGATAAGGTGAGCTTCCGTAGTGCCCGGCTCATCACTGCGCTTCAGACCTGAAAAAATGCCCGTCTGTTGAAGCAGGGCTCTTCCGGCAGCTCTCTTGACTTCCATCATCTCAGGCTGCGCGATATCGGCCCGCGGGGGTATGACGTAGAAGTCGAGATCCTCTCTCAGAACGATGATGCCAGCTCTCTTCGACGAGTCATCTCGCGAGCCCATTGGGTCTCCCGTCGCAGAATCCTCCTCCTGAGAGACGCTCGGCGAGGCGTCAACAGGTATCGACTGTGCAACGGTGCGGAAAAAGTCCAGCATATACTGCAGAGATGCTGGATCATACTACAGGTAGTGGTCAATAATCATCATGCACCATGTAGATTGTGGTCCGGCGAAGATACTGGGCTTACGTCTACTTGCACTGCATCGCCCTCTGTGAATCCCCCCATATGGCCCTCGGGGAAGAGGCCATTGGGGAACAAGGATAGTAGGACGAATTCAGGCAGTGTTAAGAGTTCGTCCCTCGACAGAACAAATCTGGTGCCCCTGCAAACAACGAAGATTAGCGTCTACAGTAGAACATAGTGTCGAAGCAATCCCCACCGAAGGTCCATGGCAATTGTCTCGTCGGCGCCAACATCTGTTGTCACGTTAGTCTTTGGCTGGATCGTCCTTGTGAAGTAGGAACTCACCTCCGATGGCATTGATGGGCGGGCCTCCCTGTTGCACTTGGGTAATAATACTCGACGCGCCTCCGGCGGTAGCCATTAGAAAGGCGAAGGATTGGAGTGGACTGGGTCCCTCCGAGTATGCGGGGGGTGGTTCGGCGTTGTCGTCCTTTCCGGAAGAGCCTCCTTTGGTGTCTCGGGGAAGCGCACGCTTAGTCTCGGCGAGAGCGTGATCAAAAGAAGTCGGAACCGATTGTTCTGTAGAGAAATTCGAAGCTAGGGATGCATACGACGGCGCAGCAGGGAATGATCCAGCGACTGTGACTGGGATCGTGGAGCGGATGCCGTGGGCAGGTTCGGGGGGGTTTTCGAATGAATCGCACGCAAAAGAGAAGGGTGGCAGCCGGGGAGTCGAGGCTTCGGAGGAGGGATACTGAGGAGGAGGCGACTGTCCACAGAGGCTGGATCCTCCTGCGTCTTGTGTTTGGTCTTGTTGGGCCTTTGCTGGTAGCTGAGGAGAATCTTCTTCTTGTAGGGCGGTGACTGTAAGACGGGCGGACACGGGTTGCCCGTTCCTGACGTGTTGTGAGCCCGGCAACGTGATGGCGGTTTCGAGAGGGTGTTGAGGATCAGATCGTAGCTAGATACAACGCAGTGTGGCGGTTCGGCCTGTCAATAAGGTAGCCAGTCGCAATTGAGGGCATCTATTGAGAGGCTTTGTTTTCAGGCGCGACGGAAAAAGCTATATGAATGATTCGTCTGAAATGAAGCTTCTAGCACAGGTTCTGATAGAAATTCCAATGACCAAAGTGGTATGCGAAGGGCAGTCGAGATAGAGAAGGAGTGCGCGACGATATACGTGCGAAAGTACTGTCTGTTCAGTACAACGAGAGACGGCGAGACAAAGGTCGCCTTGCGAGTGCAGGGGTGGCAGGCGTATCTTGGGCCTAGGGGAACCAACCAGTAGTTGCTCTTGAGTGTCTGAGCAAATGGCGGATGGGAAATTGGTCGTTAGGGGGGCACTTTGATGAGTTAGGACAAGCAGGGGGAGGGTGGCGGTTAATACCCATTACTAAAGGCCCGCTGAGTTAGCCGCTGGGGCAGCTTGAGGTACGTACCTAGACCATGGTGGTTGGTGCAGCCTGCTGCCTGCAGGTAACACCGTCATCCAGCCCTCGTTGTAAGGTAGGTAGGTGGGTGGGGTATTACCTAGGCAAGGACGGTACCCAGATAGGAGGTCCACGGGTGTCATCCCTCAGGTACCTAAGCTACCTTAGGCAGGCCGTGCCCTGAGCCTTTCCCGCTTCCAGATATCCATCACTTCTGCTAATCTTGGAAACGTGTTCCTTTATTGCATTCAAGCCAGCGGGATTGAAAAGAATCACCAGCTAAACTTAAGGGACTGTACATTTAGCCTTGAACATGTCACCATGGGGGTCGCATCAAGAGATGCGATGACCTCACGTGCTATGTCGGTGGTCCGTCCAAGACTTTAATTTCCTCAAGTGCCCACCGCAGGTAGATAAACCACGTAAGGTGGTTGGTAGATATCTTGGCATATCCCTTGTCACGGCTCACGTACACAGTAACCGGGAGTTAACGCTGTGGTGTGATGAGCAAACTCAACCGCAAGGTCTAAGTTGTCCACGCCGCCCATTCAACCCCAGGCTCACTTCCCATCCAACAATAGTAGCATTGCCCATGTTTCGAGTACCTTGCATACCCCCGCACCCGCCTGCTGCTCAAGGTTCCCATCCCATGGCGTCGCTTCTAGCTGTATCGGTTTCTCCTGTTGGGCATATGGCAAAGATGTTTGTGGATCTTTACTCGATGTATTTTTTTTGGGGGAGACGTCTCGATAAACCCCCATAGCTCAGCTCCCGCAAGTGCGCCTAGAGCTAATATGTGGTATACGCGATTATCTCATAAGGATTCAAGGAGAAATGAGCCGAAGCTGGTGGCTAGTGGGTTTAACTACCAGCAAATCCCACAAAGAAACCTTCCCGCCAGTCTTTCCCTTCTAACGATGGTTCGGTAAGTGAAAGGTTGCGTGGGCTATCCACGCAGCTTCATCGTATCGTCATGGGGGCAGTTCCGATAAAGGCAGTGAACACTTACTTCATTCGGCCTCGTCACTGCTATCACCAAATATTGATTTAAAGACCTCGTCACTTGGCCGAGAGGCCTCGCTTGCTTTGCTTTCGACTCTAGAATCCTCGGCCGTCGGCTTCGACAACCGATTTGCCATTTTGGGATCTGGCAAGTCACCCACTATATCGGCGTTTGTCCCAAACATTGGTGGCTCGTGGGGTATGACCGCACTGGCAGGTACTCCGTTGAATGCTTTGCGAACCTCCGATGGAATAAATGCGTCCGAGTCTAGAGGCGAATGAGCGGGAGGCTGGACATTGAAGCGCTTGCATAGTAATCTGGTCGGAAAGAAGTCTGCAGTCAGCCTCGTCATGCGCCCATACATCCCCATCTTGGCCGCTGCTTCCAGAGGATCCGCTAGCCCAACTGGCCTGGAAACTTGCTGTGTATTGTGATCAAGGCCTGCGTCTGAGCCTTCCTTGGATCCAGTCGAGGCTGTCGTGAACCGTGTTGCCATGTACCCCGTCATTGGCTTAAACAGCTGAGCACACCCGTAGAACTCCTCCACCTCCTTGACGTAGTCGTTTTCCGTCATGTCTACAGGTTTGACTGGAGTCGAACATGCGAATCCTGCGGCATCCTGCAGATAGAGGCGATATCGTGCCTGCTTGGCCTCATCGTTCGCATACGGCCCTCCCGTGCCCGATCCACGACTCATTGCTGCAATGGCTGTTTCTTTGGCTAAGACAGGTATGCCCTCTAATCTGTTTTGCAGCTTTTGCTCTGCCGTGCGCGCGTGCACTACCGGAACCTCGCCTCTTGCCGGTGGGAGATTTGTTTTGCCCGTGGCCGCTGCCAATCGCTCGCGAGCAGCTGACGACATGTAGTCGAAAATCGATTTTCCGGGCAGTGACGACTCGCCCAGAAGCAACGCGCGAGATCTCGGGTCGTGACGCGCCGTCTTGGCGGCGTCTGCTGTCGACACGTATGCCGCTGTTGCGTTCCCGCCGACAGGGCGCTTGGTCGATTCCCAACTATCGGGTACGATCGGGGGATGAAATGATGCGGCGGGTTGACCGAACAGCCGAGACTCTACAGTATGGCCAAGGGCGAATCCCCTGAGTGGCAGGTTCCCGTCAAGACATCGATTCTGGCCTTGGGCCCTTGCCAGCGCGGATTTGGCAAGAAAGACTGGTTTTGATCTCATCATGGGGTTCGCAGATAAGGTGGCTGACTGCGTCTTCTTTTTCCTGCTTTTGTCCCCGCCAAGAACTCGATTGTATGATATCCGTGGCCCAATTTCATATGGATCCTCGTCATCTGAGCCAGTGTCGTTGAGGATGCCCACACCTAAGCCCCCACGCCCTGCCTGATTATGCTTTTTGATCTTGCCAGAGATGCCGAGCACAAGTTGATGGCCACCCACAAATTTATGCTCCTTATCTTCAAGGTTCTCCTCGTCCACGCAAAATTGATCTTGAGTCGTCCGTGTGATGTCTGACCCAGGCAGTTGTGAGAGCTTTGGTTCCGGTGCGAAGCCTAGGCCCTGGCGGTTGAGCTTACGATCAAACTCTATCATGTCGACATCATCCGGAGCAAATAGGTGAGTATCTCCGATGGCCGCACTTTGAGTGCTGGTCGTGACGCCAAGACGAGCGACCCGTCGTACTTTGGGGCCGATGCCCTGCCCGTCCTTCCAGCCCATCTTTCTCAAAAGCTTGAGACCCATGGTACCACCGAAGGCCCTCGTCAAGCCAGCGAGCTCACCAGCTTGATGTCCACCATGACCCGAAGCTCCAAGAGGGGCAAATGGATCAGTTGTCCGAATATTCTGAGCAGCAGTAGCATCTGCGAGATCCTCTTCGTCCATGTAATCCTCTGGGCGGTGTTGGGCTGTACGCGGCTCATTCTTTCGACGGTTCGTGCGGCTCGAGACGAACGTAGACGGGGTCCATCCTTCTTTGGAGCCGACGGTGTTGAAGTATCTGGGGTTACTCCGTCAGTCAAGTAATTGCTGAGTTTGGCGTGATTCTCGTAGCTGCTGGGAGGTGTTGACAAGTTGAGAGACTAACCCTGCGCTCCATCCACCGGTAAAAGCGCCGTGCAGGCGACGCCTCCCGTGCTCGTCCCTTACTTCCTGCTTGTGTACTGGCACGTATGAGCCGTCATCGCGCACATCTGGGTCAAGCGGCGGGAGAGGAGTGCCAAAAGCGACGTGTACGGTGGCTTCATCGTGGAAGTCAGTCTCGTATATAGCATGCGACCTCTTGCTACGCGACATAAAAATGACAACTCAGAGGGAAGAAGGTGCGAGTGTTTGAGCTTCCGTAGCTAGTCGATGGGTCACAGCCTACGGTTACGTAGGCGGGTCAAGCGAGCGCCTGCGTGAGGTATGTCAGTTTTGCGTTGCGATGGGAGGTAGGTGAGTGGCTGAGGGACCTTCATGAAACTCGACGAGGTAAGATAGGTACTTCTAGTTTGGTGGGACTCAATGTCCGAGAGTTGAATGAAATCTGGATTACCTTCTATCTTTAGATGGATATCGATAAGATAAGATATAATAAAATAACTGCATACCTGGGTTCAAAAGGGGTCCATGCCTATACCCGAGTTATGTATAGTGGTGAGGTCTTATCCTTCTGTCCATATAATAGTGGAAGTATGTAGAAATTATAAAGCGACCTTTAAGGTTACGAATTACTAGTTTTTTCATGAAATTTTAAAACATTTATTCTACTTTTTTTTTGTTTAAATATTTAGAATGATCATGTCTATTTAGAGTAGGTCGATTCTAAGTAAAAAAAAATAGAAGGAAAGAAGGAATAGTGTCTTCGGGTTATACTATCACACACATCGTGTTCTGGATCCTACCTGCTCTAGTAAGTGCTTATGACCCCTAAGACCACTAAGCGTACACCTTTTCCGAGCACTGTTGAAAACCCCCTCCAACGCGCATAGGTACCTAGGTACGATAAGATACCTATCTGATACGGAAGTATAGGTATAAGGTAAGGTAGTTAGCTCTTTAGTACTTAGCGTACTAATTCATATCGTTTATATACATTCTTTATCATCGCTGCAATAGTGTGGGATTATTTTATTGCAATAAGTGTGATGATTGCATTCGGCCGATGTTTTAGGACTCCTATTTTCCGCACAGCTAGTCGCCGGTAGGCGCCTATGATCCCTAAGAGCATTCAGTGCACATAAGGTAGGTATCCGTCCCGGTAAATGATTGACGAGGTGCTGGGGAAAAGGGGCGGACAGCAAGGCGTGCTGCGATGCCTTGATCGCTGAACGCCCCGCCGGGCTTCTTTGTAGCCGCCTGGTGTAGAGTGTACAATGAGTGTAGGTACAGCGACATTGATAATTTCCCACGGATGCGCATCTTTACGCAGCGTGGGCTCAAAGGACACTGGGAGCTATCTTAGACTGGTCCTTGATTACTACCTTAGGTACGTGCCTAGGTATCTTTTCCGAGTCCCATTCTCCAGTTCCTCATGCGCCTGGTCGGTCCCGCGACTTTTGGTCAGACCAGTCTGTGCTGTTGTTGCTCGGCCCAGCCCAGGCCATCCGCGAATTGTCTACTGTAATTACCTAGCTACTTATTTACGGATACCCAGAGCATACTGTGTAGGTAGGTCTACTGGCAGAGACTCCTGCGGGTTTACCCGCTTCGTCAGATCCTTCCCTGATGTTGTGTCCGGGTGGAAGAAGAGATTGCCATTGCCGTATGATATGGTCCATCTCTTTGGGGCATGGCTGAGGCAATGCAATGGATTTGTCGAGGAGTGTCGTCTCGCCGTCGTCTTCTTGCCATGGGTTATCTCATTTAAGGAAGGTATTTTAAAGTAGCCAAGGTACCTCGTCTGTACTTTCTACCTTTAGGTAGGTGCAAATACATATGTTGTTACTCCATAGATAATATGACATTCCCCCAAGGTAAGATGAGTCGAGGCAATTCCGTGGTTTCCCAAGGTCCTTCAGCGCGGGGTCTACATTTCCGCTGACAGCATCTGTCGCCATTTCTGGTGAAGATGTTTCTGGGTACCCTGTTCCTACTGCCCCCTCGGCCCAACTCATCAGGGGATGTGAGGTTGGCAGATGCATGCACAGGTTTTCGGTACTAGGTATGTAGAGCGCCTGCCATCCGACACTAATACCTCTAGGCACCTAAGGTAAGGTAGGTACGGAACGATATGTAATCCCTAAAGGATACCTACACAATACCCAAAGGGCAAGGTACCTGAGCTAAGTAGACATGGCACCGCACCAACAACAAGGAGGCCCACCGCCCCGTCAAACAAAGGCTACCTTAGGAAAAAGAACTTTCTAAGCCGGCCTTGCTCAGGGATGTTGACAATAACTAAAGTTGGCTGAATAATTATCTTGGGCAACAATGTGATTGTACGTATGCTTTGAACTTCGAACAGGCAATAGGTGCAATGGCTACCTAAGCTAAGGAATCTTAGGTACCTTAGGTAGGACAACTTGACTTACCTATGGTACTGCCTAGGTAGGCACTTGCATTGCCTCAACTCCACCACTCTTCGTCCCTCCTCCGACCTCCCCCACCCTTTCTTCTTGCCCCCGTCCTTCTTCTACGCGCACGAACACAGACAGCATCAACGCCCGCACACCCGCATCAGATGAGACTGAACGTCCGCCTTCCCTGCTTTGCCTTGTGGATAAGGTACCTCACAGCTCTCAAATCACCCTCACAGGGATTGCCGCTCACTTTTGTCGAGGACACAATCCACACGACAGAGTAAGGTGCCTTGTCCCCCGCTTGCTGCCACTCACAGTCACCACTCACCACGACCTGTTCCTGTTTCTCTCTCTGCCTCTGACCGCCCGTCTGCTTCGTCTGCTTCGGTCTCTCATCCCCGACAAATTTCCACTTTCGCTTCGGACGCTGCAGCGCTCGCCCTTCCCTCTACCTCCCCCTCGCCCTCTTCCCCTCCCCCTTCTTCACAGTATTGTGCGGAAGTAGTCAGTGGCTCCCACCCCAGCCCCCCCCCCATACCATCCATACCATCCCGAAAAGTGTCCTACCTTACCTTATTACCTCACCTCAAGAAGGTACCTTACTGTGCGGTCCACGTTCTGCCTCTCCCACTCTTGTGTCGCCAGGGGAGCCGGAGCCGGAGCCTGTGCCAGTGTCGGTGTCAGTGCCAGTGTCGGTGTCAGTGCCAGTACACACACAACGAACCCTCGCAGTGTCACACCCCCGTTTTCCCTCCTGCAATGACAACAGCAATCCCGGCCAGCACTCATCTGCCAGCACATCCTTCCCTTCCACTGTCTCGCTCTCAGTCCCTATCTCAACCATCTATTGCGCACCGTTCCCTCGCTACCCGAACCCGGCCTCCTGTCTCCGCCTCTGGTTCCCCTTTACAGCGTAGCTCCTCTACCTCCAATCAACATCACCATCACCAGCGCCGTCACCAATACAGCGGGAGTCAGCAACTTCACCACCCTTCTCACTCTCGACAATCTTCCTCCACTGTCACCACCCTTCCTGCTGCTGCCGCGCCGACTGGCCCAGCCATTTCTCATTTCGCTCAAGATATTCTCCCGCAACATGGTTATGAAACAGCAAACGTAGTCTTCCACTCCAAGCGAAACGCCTCTAGCCACCACCCGCCCCCGTCAAGCCGCGCCGACGCTTCGCGTCCTCAGCGTCACGGCAGTGTCAGATCAAATCACCCTCATAATCGCGCTCCCGATATGCCCGCGAGTACCGCAGTCGCTAACAACGGCGGGCCTGCTCCCGTCAGCAATCATGGCGGGCCCGACCCTCGGAGCCCTGGCGCGACCACCACCTCGAAGCATACGAGCAGATCGCGCACTACGATACCAACCCCATCCGGAAAATGGATCTTGGGCAAAACAATCGGTGCTGGGAGCATGGGGAAAGTGAAGCTAGCCCGGAAGGAGGACACAGGAGAGCAGGTATGTTGCCCTCCGTCACAGCCCCCTCCCCCCGACCGTGTCGTGCATGCTAACTCACGCTCCTGCACAATCGTAGGTCGCCTGCAAGATTATTCCCCGCGGCTCAACGGAAGATACACAACATCAGACCCGAGCAGACAAGGAGAGGGCGGACCAGTCCAAGGAAATCAGGACTGCCCGAGAGGCCGCCATTGTTACCCTTCTGAGCCACCCCAATATCTGCGGCATGCGAGACGTTGTGCGCACCAACTACCATTGGTACATGCTCTGCGAGTATGTCAACGGCGGTCAGATGCTCGACTACATTATTTCCCATGGCAAGTTGAAGGAGAAGCAAGCCCGCAAGTTCAGCCGTCAGATCGCCAGCGCTCTCGATTACTGTCACCGAAACAGTATTGTCCACCGAGACCTCAAGATCGAAAACATTCTGATCAGTAAAAATGGAGACATTAAAATCATCGACTTTGGGCTCAGCAACCTTTTCGCTCCACGCGGTCACCTCAAAACCTTTTGTGGCAGTCTTTACTTTGCCGCCCCGGAGCTACTTCAGGCAAGAGCCTATACCGGGCCCGAGGTTGATGTGTGGAGTTTTGGCATCGTTCTTTACGTTCTAGTGTGTGGGAAGGTGCCGTTTGATGACCAAAGCATGCCCGCTTTGCATGCTAAAATCAAAAAGGGGTTGGTAGACTACCCAAGTTGGCTTTCGAGCGGTAAGTATCTGAACTGGTGGCTGCGACTGATCTCTATACTAACGTGGCGCAGAATGCAAACACTTGCTTTCCCGAATGCTCGTGACGGATCCTAAACAACGTGCCAGCATGCAGGAAGTCATGGTCCACCCGTGGATGACGAAAGGTTACAGCAATCCACTGGACAACGGGTTACCTCCACGAGAACCCCTCTCACTCCCATTGGACTCCGATGTTGTGAATGCCATGACCGGCTTTAATTTTGGCTCCCCAGACGCTATCAGGGCCCAGCTGGAACGGACAATCGAGTCCGAAGATTACCAACGTGCAGTCAGACTCTACCAGCGCGAGAAAGAGCTTCCCCAGCCTGCCAAAGACGTCGAAAAGAAGCGTGGATTTGGCTTTGACTTCTATAAGAGGAGGAACTCGGGCACCAGCCGTGACACTCTGACGGGTCCTAGTTCCGAGGCCCTCCAGCTAGGCAATGATCCTCTCAACGCGTTCAGTCCGCTGGTTTCAATATATTACCTGGTGCGAGAGAAACAAGATCGCGATCGCGCTGAGAAGAACCCTGGGGCTGCTAGTGCATTCAAGGAGAAGGAGAAGCCTGCGATCCCCGAAATCACGCCACCGCAGGAGGCTCATACCAACTCCTCTGCCTACGAAATGCCTGGTGAGAGGGTCACTGGTGGTCGTTCCCGCCCTCGAGCCAGGACACATGGTGAAGACGATGCCCCTGATGCGGCAAAAAGTTCTCAACTTTCGCCAACAACCCCTCTGTCTCCAGAGGTGCCACCCGAGCCACTCCCAAAGAAGGAGAGCACCGCTGCAGGCATCCTCCGTCGCTTCAGCACCCGGAGACGCAGGGATCCGGAGAGGTCGGACAGAGACCGATCTCATCCGCCTGTCGTTCAGGTTCACTCACCTTCTGAGGCTCCTCCCGCACCGATACCCCGGAAGAGCTTCAGCATACGTCGCGGCAGACGGGAACGGGAAGAACCAGACCCTCTACCGCTGCGATCCGGTGGCAGTCAGCCACAGCACGGGGATCTTCTTAGCCCTCCCTTGTCCGCCGGGGGTCAATCGTCACGGCGCAAAGGCTTGGGTCGATCGACTAGTGTGAACTCTGCAGACTTGCGTCGCCGTGGGTCAACCCGGACACCGAAGGAACCACCCCCGACAAGTGGCTCAGACCAGTCGACGGCCACCGACCGACCTCCACCCGTATCAAGAGACAGCCAGCAAGCACGAGCCGCATCCATGAGAGCCAAGTCACTCGGTCATGCCAGGCGCGAGAGTATTCAGCAGCGCAGGCTTCGCCGGGAGGAAGCAAGAGAAGCAAATTTGCCGGAGGAGACAGATCAAGAACAAGGCGATCAGAGTGGTGTGTCCACCGACAGGCTAGACAGCTCAGATTTGGCCAAGCCTGTCTTCCTGAAGGGCTTGTTCAGTGTTTCGACGACTTCAACCAAGAACGTGACAGAAATCCGGGCGGATATCAAGCGGGTGCTCAAGGGCCTCGGGGTTGACTATACCGAGATCAAGGGTGGCTTCTTGTGTAAGCACACACCTAGTATTGACCTCAAGAAAGTACAAGACGTTCCTGGTAGCCCCGGGCAGGCGCCGCCAGGTCACAGGAGACGCTTCAGTTTCGGCGCAATCAGAGGCGGCGACCGGGAACGAGAGGACTTACCGGCAACTGATCGAGGGCCAAGCACGCCGCGTGGCTCTGGTCGGACCGAGGCAGATCGCAGTTATTCTAACTCGGACGTCTCACTTGATAGCGTCTCACGAGAAGCCGGAGGATCATCCAGAAGAGTCCCGGGTGAGACAAGCACTCACGTCCAGAGCGATCTCGGCGGAAGTATGGTCCTTGAGTTTGAGATATTCATTGTCAAGGTCCCGTTGCTGTCCCTCCACGGAATCCAATTCAAGCGACTAGTGGGAAACACTTGGCAGTATAAGAACATGGCTGATCAGGTTCTGAGGGAGCTTCGTCTTTAGATGGGGCGCAAGCGATTAGTTACAAGGCACGGAGAACATACGTGGTCGAGGATTAGCTCGAATGTGGGGGCCCGACTACGATCAAATGGAGCGGGCGGAGGGTTTCGACGGCAAACATGTCTCATCGTACGACCTTTTTGACCTTTGACTTGTTTCTTTTCCTTTTCTCGGTCGCCTTGGCGGCAACCAAGGTGTTTGCTGGCCAACTGCCAATCAGTCAGCAGCTTTCTACTTTTGCGAACCTTTGCGAAGGGGCGGCAATATGTGAATAGGTACTCACTCATACATGCCGCAGTGATTGGGTAATGTGAGGTAATTCAATTAGGTGAACGTGTATAGAGAAGACTAGAAACGGAAATGTTGTGTATGTGCGTGTCCTTTGTTCGTCTCACAGCAGCTGGCGGTGTGATTTTCCATGCTATCTTTGTCAGCTCAGGCGGCAATACTTAGAAACTTTATAGAAAGCAGCCTGCCAAAGGTAGGAACTACCTCATAGACGTGGTGAAAGAGAATTAAAGGGTTCTGAGGTGTTTGGTACCTCCACTGCGCTTTGCTAGGGACTACGTCAGCGAGGACAGGCGCATCAAACTTGGACAATGACCAATAAACGTTGCTGGCAGTCCAGTGTAGATATCCAAACTGAAGTAAATTTAAACGTGTATTGTTCATCCCCTTTTAACTGTGTAGAGAAGTGGCCCAGGAACTCAGACGGACGCACGCATTAGTAGCTACTGTACCTGCACACCTAACTTATCCGTATCGAAGAATCTATCTCAGGATATCAGCCGCACAGGCAGTCCCCACATTCAACGAAGAAAGCTCTGACGGCGATTCTGTAGGCCCGGACAATATACACACAAGGCCTGCGGGGCTCACGAAAGCATAGCCACACATGTTGAGATCAGAGGTACACTGGCCAGCCGCTTTTTCCCTGGTTCTTCTGTACGAAACGGATTAAACTTTTGTCGCCCGTGTTGAGGTAGTTGGGTAACCAGGTAAATGGTTTCTGTATCTAGAAGGTAGGCTGTATACCCTAGTCTCTGTCCCCAATCGCCCCACTGTCGCAGGAAGCCCCAAAAGGCTTCCAGGTTCCATTCCAAACTACCGGCCTCGGTCAGATAGCTTAGGTAATGGATACCAGTGCCACCTAGTGGTAGTTGCACGCTATTGTGTCCATATGCTGAAGGCACCTGCGTTCCCTACCTTGCCTACAACGCTTTCCTTTGTACACCTTACCTTAGCCCGACTGCCGACCAATTACCTAACCTTGTCGTGTCTTGTCTGGCCTTGCCTACCTCTCTGTTCGTGCCTCACCCTCAACCTGACTTAGTTTATGGTCCATAACCTCCACCCTGACCGAATACGCACATTTATCCCTGTGACCTACACAACACGCACCGACGGTTTGAAGTCGGCGCCACCACGACACCACGACACCACGACAGCGCATTTTTCAGGCGTCCTTCCCCATCACGATCTTGCGACTCAGCGGCCCAACAACCTCGCGCGCAAGAGCCCAAAGCCCAACACACCCCCGCGAAGTTGACATTCTCGGTCCGCCGCCGCCCGCCCACCGCCCACCGCCGACACATCAACGCTCCGACGAAGTGCCGCGGCCCGTCATATCATTGTTGCAGCATTGGACACCCGACAAAGGTTCCCCGTCAGTAAACCGCGATAGAGATATTTGGTCGCGATTAGGGCAGGGGTTCCCCTCGCTTCAATACTACAAATAGTTTCGTCGAGAACATCTTCTGTAAAGGACATAGATCTGGGTCTCGAAGATGATGCCCGCTCAGCACGTTTACGGACATCATCAGTTTAATCCACAGACTGACTCGGCATGGATGCACCAGCAGTCTAATCAACACCACCATGCTCAGCAAGCTGCTGCCGCCGCTGCCTCCGCCGTGCAGCAGCAGCAGCAGCAGCAACAGCAGCAACACTACAACAGACTGGCTAGTGGGCATTCTGTGGTTCCGTCTCTTAGCAATGCGCATACCCCGGATGGCGGCCACGACAACATATCAGAGGACAATCGACGAACAATGGCTTATATTGCCGACCTGCTGAGCGAGAGCACTCGCGAGGCTGCTCTTCTAGAGCTGAGCAAGAAGCGGGAACAGGTTCCCGAGCTTGCTCTCATTCTGTGGCATTCTTTCGGTAAGCTTCCATGGCTGGGGTCGAATATGGTTGACGCACACTAAACTCATCGCAGGAGTCATGACATCGCTGCTGCAGGAGATTATTTCGGTCTACACTCTTCTGAACCCTTCACAACTCACGGCTGCGGCTTCCAACCGGGTATGCAACGCGCTAGCACTTCTTCAGTGCGTTGCCTCTCACAACGACACGCGCACGCTGTTTCTGAACGGTACGCCATACTCCCGGTGATTCCATGACAAGTGACCTGTCCTTGAGCTCACATCCATCAGCCCATATCCCTCTGTTCCTCTATCCCTTCCTCAACACGACATCGAAATCGAGGCCCTTTGAGTACCTACGCCTAACGTCGCTGGGCGTTATTGGCGCCCTCGTTAAGAATGACTCTTCTGAGGTTATCAACTTTTTGCTCACCACTGAGATTATTCCTCTTTGCCTGCGCATAATGGAAACAGGCTCGGAGTTGAGCAAGACTGTGGCAATTTTTATTGTACAAAAGATCTTGCTGGATGACAATGGGCTCAACTACATCTGCGCTACGTACGAACGCTTCTACGCAGTGGGCACCGTCCTCAGCAACATGGTCGCTCAACTTGTCGAGCAGCAAACCGCACGTCTGCTCAAGCACGTCGTCAGATGCTTCCTTCGGTGAGTACATTCATGTTTGCCCAACTGTTTCAGCCTCTCCCTAACGCCACGCAGGTTGAGCGATAATGCGCGAGCGCGCGAGGCTCTACGCCAATGCCTTCCGGAGCCCCTCCGAGACGCGACCTTTTCCTCCGTCCTCAGAGACGACGCTGCGACAAAGAGATGCTTAGCACAGCTCCTGATTAATCTTTCGGACAATGTCGTTGAACCGACCCAAGGGGGACACCCCGGTCTTTGAGGTCATGAATACCTGACATATTGTAAACATTATCGGGCCAACATAGATTCATGCATAACTCGGCGACTTGGAGGTCAGTGATTTCATCGGAAAACGCAAAGCGTCGTAGACGTATTGATACCCGCTTCCTCTGCCCAGATGGAGGCATGTCAGGCTGATCTGGAGTGCATCTTCAACTTGTGCGGACTTTCTCTCTTTCTCTCTTCAAATGTAGCATCGAAAAGGCGGGGGGCAAAAGCAAGGGTTTCTTTTCTCGCTCGGTATTGGCGACGGGGTTGTGTCATTTTGATTATAGGGCAGGGAGCAGGCGGACCTGGAATTGGCGCCGGAGGCTGGGGATGACGTCTCAGGCTTTATGGACACGATCCAAGGATTCCTGTTGCTAACATGCCTCCTGTCCGGGGTGGCGCGTGGTAGCATTGGCTTTAGTCGGGCGGTATGCTTGTATGAAATGTTCTTTCTGGCAGTGGGATTGGGGTTGTCATGCTATTCTTGCTCGGCCTACTTGTGTATGTATAGAGGCTGAAGTCCATGTATCCAATTTATTCCAACTAAAACACCGATTGTTCCCCACCATTTTGTTCCAACGCTCCTCCGGCAGCGTGGTCCGTAAGTAGCTGTCTCCATCGGCTGACACGATGTCTCTCATAGCTCTCGCTGCCTTTCCTAGCCAAGCTTCGGACTGACTGGCGTATGTTGCCTGACAGCATGAATACTCTGCCCCCCTACAACCACCCCCCGGGGGGGGGGGGGGGGGGTTGCTTTTTAGCGGGTTGGCTAACCTCTGACAACAATGCATGGCGAGGCCTTTCTGATTATAGACGTTGCCCAAATATTTCCAAATCTATTGCTCCTCGTGCTCTGGAGGTCTTCGTCCTCGACAAAGACCAATCACATTGAAACGAGGCTTTCACAGCTGGGATGAGTATTTAGCTGTACGAAAGGCGACCAATTCCAGTCTGCCGTTCTTAGTGCTTTGCTTTTGCTCGCCTTGGGTACTTCGACTCTCGTGTACATTAAATGCCGTGATAGAAGAAGGCTTGATTGATATCAAGGACCGAGACAAGACAGAAATGCACAACCAGGCTGAAAGGGATTATGCTGCTCTTCGATACACTCTCTCCGGCTTTCACATTCGACTAAAGTATTGTAAGACCACGAGATTTTAATCCTCTTATGCTAGATTCATTGCTTCTGGTAACGCCGTTGGCGTGTACAGGGCCCAGCGTCTTCGATCGGCATGCGAAGGCTAGGCCATGGCCCGACCTGATTTCGCAAAATCCCGTTCTGTGGATACTTTCAGCTGGAGACTTCTTTAATCACTCTATGTTAGCTAGAATCCCCTGTTAATGTGATCTCCATACCTACACGACTCGGTAACACTGCCATTCCCCAGTGAACAAAAGTTCTGTGGTTGTAACTATGGACGATTCCATTTCACTTTGGCAGTTGTCTCGGCTGGCTTTGCGGTAATATTCATTACAGACACTGCTGATGGCGACACGGCAAATAGTACATGCGTATATGCGAGGAACGTAGGCTGTTCCACATCTGGACAAACGATACGTGTTGCCAAGCTCCGACCTGGCCGCGTATTCCCATTCCCATCTGCCAGCTCGACTCTAGGCTTTTCTCAGCATATATTTTTTCTGATCTTGTGCACGCAGGTCTTCTTTCTTGCAATGAACAGCTCGTGATGTGCAAATGTTTGGAAGGTGGAAGAAGACCGAGATAACCGGCTGGCAACACGGGGAGGATGTAGCGACGATTTGCTACTTTTCGGAGTGAAAAATCAACGAAGGACCGGCCCCTCGATCTATTCTACTGGAAGTAATCAGTGAAAGCTCTGGTTATGTTAAAACCGATGTGGTAGGCGCATAGCGCAAGATACTGACTGTTGTAGTGTGTGTAGTCGGGGGCTCATAACATTTCATGCAGGAGCATGCCAGCAGTGATGAACAGAGGCATACTTCCTCCAGAGTGTTTCGATCTATCGCTTTTTCTCCGAGATTCACTCCAAATGCCGTGGAAGGAGCTTCCCTACTAGAATGTTGCATTGGTCAAATAGTTATTGCCCAATACCGGCAAGGAAACTTTGCTGCAGTGGCCCTTTCGATGACTTGGCTTGACTAGTATAACAGCATTCCTGATCCCGGGTTTCGCCTAAATCACGGCGATTTCTAATAGTTTCCAGAGTCACCGAGTGTTTTTCGCCCGATCAGTGAAAATTTGGCGTATAGATAATGTTGCCTGAACTCCGCTTAGTATCCGCGAAGAACGGCTCTTGGGAGATCAACATCCTCGCACCACCCACACGGACTACCAATTCCTCGTAGCTAACCAAGAACAGACATGTAACCTGGAAAATAAAATGCAGTGGAAAGAAATTCCTAATTCGAAAACGAGAGCCGGAAACGAATGGTGGAAAATTTGCACCATGGCAGGTAAATTTTGTATGCCGTGTATACATTCGCCTTCAACCAAATGGAAGTGCTCCATCTAGCACATGCTTTACTAGGACCACATAATCCAAATATGGCTTGGACGGGTTCCTGACCCTCAAGGAACGCATGGAGGATTCCGGCAGCCCTGCAGCCCAACGTGTCCCCAATAGGGTTCTGAGGTAACCCGGCTACCGAAGAGTGACCTGCCCCGGGGAATCGGATCTTCCAATCAATCACATGATCCGGTGTGACAATTAAATCCCCAGGCCGGCCTTCGCCGAGCGACTTTCCGAGGGATGTTGGGCGAGCAAGCAGTCGGCTGCCGGGCTGACAACCTTCACAGAGGCAGCTCTCCGAGTGCCAAATGCCAGCAGCTCGCACACTAGTCAATAATGACTAACATGATCAAGTCACAAGAATAATAACGCGTTATAACACGGCGAACCGCCATCGTTTAAGATAACATACGCCGGCAGAGCCTAGCGGCCCAGATTTGATCTGTGAGCCCCGTCACCTTATCAGGGCCGCGAGACGGGAGGCCCAAACGTACTATCGAGCTTTGAACCGCAGACATTGATGGGTAGTCACATGAGGATAGTTGGGACAGCAACTTTGGATTGCCATAGGCCCCGTATACAAACCCTCGAGGCAGCAAAAGTTGGAGAAGAGCAAAGCAGGCCGTTTACAAGGCAGAATGTGAGAGGAGGCCCGCTGATGACCATCCGTCAACGAGCCAAGTTCAGCGCGTCCCCCAAGAACGAGATTTGATCATAAGAAGAAGAAAACCAACAGACATTCTCAAATACCACATAGGGTTCGGAATACACTTGTTGGCGCGGATAGGCTGAAGAGAGATCTGAAGCAAAAAGTGTGGAGTTTAGTTCGGGGGAAGGGGATAGGTTGTTTAGGACGTTTTGTAAGCCAAGCTTCCATTGGAGACGAGTAAGAAGACGCTGTAGGAAGTCACTGCATGGCATCATGGGCCTGTCTAGACCAGTGTGCGCGTTATATGACCGTATTAGGCATGCACCAGTATCAAGCCAGACAGGGGTAGAGAGCGGACGAGAGCAGCCAGCCCTTGGGAAGGAGAGAAAACCAAGGACTCTGAGATGTGGCAGGACTCTCGCCAGCAGCTTACAAACCCAACTTTTAAATACACTTCCAATCACCGGCCAGAGCCTGACGCCCGTCTACGCGGACCATGCTGAGCTCGTGACAAATGATTATATTGAAATGGAAGCATGCCTCCTCGATATAAGGCAGACGAGACTGATTTGTCACCACGTACGGGAAAGGACAAATGGTTCCGCTCGGGTATCCGGGATTGCTCGGTGTGAAGGGAACGAGGCTGGGGCGGAGGTGATGGTGGCACCGCCGCACTAGTAGCGACGCTGGATGGTCTGCAGCGAGGTACTCTAAACTCCGCCGCAATTCCGTCATGGATTCAAGACATCCGCAACCTGTGCCTGCGTATTGGGGTCCAAAATGGACGGTCCACGAGAACGTGGCATAAGGGTGGAAGCAAAGCTAATGGCCGTTAAAGGCCATTCGCTAGCCCTACGAGCTCGTGTCTCGCTTCTGTGACAGTTTCAAAGGACCCGGCTTACTTTCGTCCTCATCGAATGATCAAAGGAGAAACCGATGGTTTACATTCCGACTGACTATGACGCCTGAGCTAAGTTAGCTGGCCACGTTCGCCATCGGGTTGTGATCCAGCAAAACGCAAGTGCAACCCAACGTACTGCAGACTAACTATGGATTGAGAGCAAGCATCCGACAGAGAACTTACTGGAGAGTAGTACATCAGAGCATTGTGACATGGAACGGGAAGAGCGTGCACTCGGTCGAAGGAAGATTGAAGATGGCTACGTATCAAAATCCGCGCACGATTTTAGAAGATGCATGTGTATAGCAAGGTGCCGTGGAGTGTGAAGTTGATGGCGAGGTGGATGCCGGTGGTCGGGTCAAACGGTCTGAACGGAGACTAGTGCGCTAGTACGAAAAGGGACGCCGTCTTTTCGAGTCGCACAAAATGCGTGAGGTAGGGCGCAGGTGCGGGTGCGGGTATGGAGCGGAGAAGGAAATGGAGAGACGTTCCTCAGAGGAGCACAGGGGTTTTCCGCCTATCTTCTTCTGTACCTTAGCTTGTTGCGACCAGACCCCTGTCTTCCGCCTTTTCACCACCAAAGCTCGAGAGGCCACACCAAAATCTGGCGGGAATTGGCGGTGGCTTCTCCATGTCGAATTTCGGAGGGGGTGGGGTGGAATATTTGCAATATGATTGGATGGCATGCCGTTAATCCGGACACAGCGAGTTTCCCTTCTGCAATCGTACCTGAGGTTCTTCCACTACCTTATGTCCGTACGATTACACAATCGCTTCTACACATACACGCACTCACTCTACCTCTGCACCTTGCGGGCACCTTCCCAGCCTATCCGTACACACAAATTACCCACATATGCCGGGTGGCATATATGATGGTGCCATCAATGCCATTCTCAATATGCCGTCGAAGCTCAGGTTGTCATAAATGGACCACGCAGGATAAGCGG